GCGTCTCGTGGGCTAGACTAACAAAACATTCAAATGCAACAACGTCACTTACATCACTCACCGCATCTCGTGCACCACTGATGACGCTCCCTGATGTACACCTAACATTCAAATGCAAATGTTTATTTTAAATTCGACTAATATTCATTCTTTATTCACAATCTCCTCATCACAGGCAGGCACAGCACTCAATTCAGCATGTGTTTGTGTGCTGTCTGCGTCACTCATAGTACGTGCCTATATCGTGCTCTATATCGAACATTTTTTATATCGATATCGAAGAAGGGGTACCGTCGATAAATATTGATACCGTTTTATCGCCCAGGCCTACATGTATCCTATAAATGTGCTTTCAGAAGATCGATGTGTATTAGCGTTATTGTCTGTGCTCTTGTTTTGCACTCTCTGTCATGGTCTGGCGGTTACTGAATTAAAGGGGCAGTTCACCAAAAATGACAGTTCTGTCATGATTTACTCTCCTTCGCGACGTCCTAAACCTGTATGAGTTTTTCTCCTGCGAAACACAGAAGGAGATATTTTGTAGAATATTGCTAACCAATCTGTTTTGGTCACCATTGACTTTCATTGCATGGACCAAAAAAAGCACTGAGACATTTGAGGCGTGTTTAGTGTGGCACGTGGATATGATATCTGTGTTGTACCAAGTGAATTGACTGAAAGAGAACAGTCACACATTGGATTCCCTTACAGTAGTGCTTTGATAAATTACCCGAGTAAATGTGTCTGGTTGATTTACCTTGTTTGACGGTTATTGATTTATTTTTCCCCTAGTTTGAAATGCTGACCGGCACATTACCGTTCCAAGGAAAAGACCGGAACGAGACAATGAACATGATTCTTAAGTAAGTGTGGCTGTTAACACAAGCCAGTCTGTGTGATGTTTGATTGGTCAGATATTTTATCAATGTAACTGACTTGTAAACTGAAGAACCAGCAGGAAACACTTACTCAAGCACAGTTCACTTGTTCAGTGATCATGATGACTACGCACATAAAATGCTGGTAATGTTGTATTTTTTTCCCTGTTTGTTGCTGCACATCAGAGCAAAGCTGGGAATGCCACAGTTTTTAAGTTTGGAAGCACAAAGTCTTTTACGAATGCTCTTCAAACGAAATCCATCAAATCGTTTAGGTGAGTCACCTGCGTTTCTCGTCATGTTTTGTGAATGCAAGGCAGCACTAGGCCGTGGCTTGTTGAGTTTGAATATAAGCAGACTGTGGTGTAATCATCATAAGCGCTCTGTTCCAGGAGCCGGTCCTGACGGAGTAGAGGAGATCAAACGTCACGCGTTCTTCTCCACCATCGACTGGAATGTAAGTATCTGTTAGCATTACAGCATTACACACTTCTCTCAGCAGAGTGCCTCATCCTCCATCATTGAGCGTGTGTGTGAGTGTGTGTTTGTGTTTGTTTGTGTGTGTGTGTGTGGCTGCCGAATCAAGCTGTGTTTGACTAATAATGAGAGCCGGGAGCGCCTGAAACACCAAATGCTGATCCACTGACCATGAAGAGGAGAAGAACCACTTCCCAGAGAGATCCCATCAGTCACAGATTACATTTAGTCAGCATCAAATCATATTGAGCCTCTTCACGCTCCTGCTCTTACTGTGCAGACTTTAGCCACTTTCATGCATGAACCCCGTTAAATTGCAGTAAAACATCATATGGCTTTGTGTCATTTTTCTGCCTCTTCATACATTTAAAACTTATTTGTTCAGATGGACTTAAGTTTTTTTTTTTTTTGGTCCAATTTTTTACGAATAAAACCATTTTGATACACAAGCGTTTGACTTGGCTGGAGTAGCTCAGCAGCGCATCGGAAATGATGATAATCAGGATTTTTGTGCAGATTAACATCTTGGAAGGGGAGAGCTATGTAGTCTTAATGGGCAGCGTTTCAGTCACTATTTATTATTATATTATATTATTTAGGTTGTCTTGACAACAGAAACAGTAAAATATAACAAGGAAAATAGTTTTATTGAGAATTTGGCTGCATCAAATTACAGTATGTGGGCACAGAGAGGCAAACAAATGTATTAATAAATAATAAATGTACATTTTGCATGTTCAGAAGAAGTGAGCTGCCCCTCCTACAAATAATGTAAACAGGCTTGTGTAAGTAAATTGCTCGGTGCAAAGAAAGAAGTAATGGGAACCTGGTATTTCTGTTTTCATGTGTCTAATAGACATGAACATGTTCTTTGAAAAACATCTATGACCTATGAAACATGTCTAGTCTTCATGCTCTATGCTGAGTATGGTTTCACTAATAATAAACATACATTTGCATAAAGCATCCATATTTGTCCATGCCCATGTTGATTAGAGTACTAAAAACGTGAAAAGTATTAATTTAAGGGTACATTTAGAACAGATAAAAATGTGCGATTAAGTTGCGATTAATCACGAGTTAACTCATGACAATTGTGCAATTAATCACGGTTAAATTTTAATCGATTGATAGCCCTTATACGTGTACTGTTAGGCTAACCGAGACTTGTCATTTGCACTTACATATCATTGCTCTTTTGTTGACTTTTATTGCTTCTGTTGTCCTCATTTGTAAGTCGCTTTGGATAAAAGTGTCTGCTAAAGGACTAAATGTAATGTAAATGTAAATCAACTGAAGGCACATCGCAACAGCAATCAAAGTGATTTCATTTTGACGCACTGCTTGACAGCAGCCTTGTTATGTCAGAGCGTCCTAACCTTTTGTGCTCAACCCATTAATCCTATGGCTTTGTTTGCACACAGTGTCAAAACTGAGCTTGATAATGTATAATAATGTTGCTTCTAATCTTGAGATATTGCCGTGGCTGATTTACCAGTGTTTTCTAACATGTAAGCACTAAACAGAAAGATGTGCTTGAATTTGCATAGTCTGTACATGTAAAAGCATCTTATTTTATTCCAAAGAAAAAAAGAAAACCATGATCTTCAATTAAAATGTAACTCGCTCCACCTCTGAAACAGCTTTTCTTCTTTTCTTCTTTTTTAATCAGTAGATGAGTATCTTACTAGTGTTTCTTTTAGGTTACTGCTGTAGGTAATGCAGCCTTTCTGAAAATGTGATGAAGACTGTAACAGTATTATTAGCAAATAAGAGTTGAAAAGGATGTGGAGAGGCCTCACTGTCCACTGCAAACTCACCTTCAGCTCTGACTCCATTATCATTAGAAACCAAATCCAGTCCAGAATGTCCTGCTTGACTCAGAGATCTGTCACACGTACCATGGGTTGTTAAAGCTGATTCATGTTAACTTCAGTCTTTACCTTTTTCACATGTGGCAGGAGGAACATATTTTATATGAGTGTATAGCATGTGTTTATTGTTTGTGATTGTAGAAACTGTACAGAAGAGAACTTCAGCCTCCATTCAAACCTGCTGCAGGGAAACCAGACGACACCTTCTGCTTCGACCCAGAATTCACAGCCAAAACTCCCAAAGGTACAATGGAGACGAGAGCTAGTGCTGTTCAGATATTGCTGCTGGAGATGCCGTTGAAGGCTTGAGTTGTGTTTTTGTGTGTGTTTGACAGATTCTCCAGGCATTCCCCCCAGTGCAAACGCTCACCAGCTCTTCAAAGGCTTCAGTTTTGTAGCTCCAGTCTCTCTGGAGGACAGCAGAAGTGCCCCGCTGGTCAACATTCTCCCCATAGTGCAGGTAAACCACTAATCTATCTGTTTATAGTTCACTAGGTTATGTGTAGTAGGGGTGAAACGGTACACAAACATGACGGTTCGGTACGTACCTCGCTTTTGACGTCACTGTTTCAGTACAGCAAGGGGAAAAACTAAAAGCTTGCTTTATTATTTTTTTTATTAAACAGTGGTTTAATAATTTTTTTTTTAATTGCTCTGTCTTTAAATAAATTTAATTATAATTTTAATTTTCTTAGTAGTTTCTATAGTGAGCCCTTTTACATTAATATAACGTTACACTTAACAACAGAGCCCAAACTTAAATTCAGTTATTTATTTTTTAAATATAATAATCAACACTCAACTTAAAAATATATGTATATGCAAACATGTAAATTGCACATAATGCAGTTTTTAAATTAACTTCTAAATTATAACATTTCTATTTGTTGTTGAAATATAATCATTTTCACATTGGCTCTCATAACTTGATTCATAGCAGATTTATTTAAACATACATTGAATAATTAAGACATCACTAGCAGGTAAAGTAAAATGTAATGAGTATATAGTCTAATATTTCGCGAAGTGCTCTTCTCTAGACTTTATTTATAGCGCACTAACGAGCTGTGGACACTGATGACTTGAGTTAATGAAATGCTACACTTTGGTTACAAGCTGTTTTATTGCCGTCTTTCCACGGTTGAAACACTGATTGAGCGATTACATGATGCATGAGATGTTCGTTCATGTTTATTTGAAGTTAAAGGCACAATATGTAAGATTTTTTTTATTAAAATATCCAAAAACCGTAAAAGCTCCGCTGCTTTCCAGCTGTGTGTCGCGCTCGTTCAGCGGCCTCGTTTCGCTTCGACGGCTTTCAGCCTCACCTGCTTCATTCTACTACGTTAATAAATCATTAGCTCATCCATGAACATGATTTCTGCCCGAGTCCCGTCGGATTGCATCGGCTGTGGGGATGAAGACCACAACTCCCATGATTCCACACTCAGTCACAGCATCATCAAACTACGCCTTTGTCTCTTTGTTTATTTTGAATATGCGCCCTCTAGCGGCGGAAATTACATATTGTGCCTTTAAATCTAGTAGTAAAGAGGAAGGGATGATCGCGCTGCCATTTGAACTGAAGCGTTTATACAGCGATCTGTCGCATTTATTGTTCGAATTTCCTGACAAAATGGACATAATTTGAAAATGAGACTTTGTTTCTTATCAAAAGTAACAATATATAAAACTGGACGTTTCCAGTGGTTAAAACAGCGCTGTATTTGTTCGGTACACATGCATGCCGAACCGAAAGACCCGTACTGAAAATGTTACACCCCTAGTATGTAGTATTTGTTTATATATATATATATGTATGTAAATATGTGTGTGTGTGCTGTGTCAGATGCACGGAGGCATGGCTCAGTTTGCAGACGTGTACGAGCTGAAGGAGGACATCGGCGTGGGTTCGTACTCCATATGCAAACGCTGCACACACAGAGTCACTGCCATGGAGTTTGCTGTAAAGGTGAGACCTCAAACCAATCATTACTGATGCCTCAGTCAGTCTGGCCTACAAGATGCTGTGATACATGCACACTAATGCTTCACTGCTCTGGTGTTAAACAGATTATTGACAAAAGCAAGCGCGACCCGTCGGAGGAGATCGAAATCCTGATGCGGTACGGCCAGCATCCCAACATCATCACGCTGAAGGACGTGAGTGAAGCAGCTCTGGTCTCTGGTCTCCAGCTGAGTGTGCGTGGCTCACTCAGGTGTGTGTGTGTGTGTGTGTGTCAGGTGTACGACGAGGGCCGCTTCGTGTATCTGGTGACGGAGCTGATGAAGGGCGGCGAGCTGCTGGATAAGATCCTCAGACAGAAGTTCTTCTCAGAGCGAGAGGCCAGCGCTGTGCTCTACACCATCACCAAAACTGTGGACTATCTGCACTGCCAGGGGGTGAGAGACCAGACTCTATCCACGTGTTTACCAGAAGAACTTCACCAATCAGTAGCTGCTGCTAGCTTTTACTTTACTTTACTTTTAGTCATTTAGCAGACGCTTTTATCCAAAGCGACTTACAAATAAGAAAAAGTAATTAAAACTAAAAGCTAAAACTCTATAAATAGGGCCCTCTAGTGGTCACTGGTTGAGAATTATTGAAACAAGCATAAGTTACTGTATATATGTCAGTCATAAACATAATTACTGTAAAATACGGTTCATTTTTACTATTTATTCTCCCCCATCTGCCAGCTCTCAATATCTCATCAGTTCTGCACGAGTCATGTAAATGATGTGTTAAGATTGCAAAGAACTGTGAGTGTTTTACCTATAATAATCCAGGAAATTAATTATTAAAAGTGGGGAAAAAAAATTTTTTATTTGGAAATTCTTTCAGAAAATCAGATTTGAAAGGTTTGTCCAAATTGTCGTGTAAGTTTAATTGAATCGATTTGTAATTCTGATTAACGAGGCTGTACCTAACAGCTGAACATGACATGATGGTACAATAATCAAGCATGTTGTTGTTGTTAATGAAGTGCAGGACAACTGTGCATATCTCAGTAATCCTGTTAAACTTACTATACATGAAAAAGAACATTACATGAACTGTATATGGGGATTCAGTGAATTATTCAAGTATTTGATGTTTAATGAGGACAGTTGCTTGCTTTTATGATGCAAATTGGATTTGCGTTTTAAAATGACACTCCTCTCTAAAACCTTGACTTGATGTGTCAGTCTGGACTCGTGAAAGCATACGCTTCGTGCAGCATTTCGTATTCAGAGCTCCCATGCTTGATGACCCCAGTAGTCCAAAGTCTGCATGTAATTTTGCATGCTTTAAAATGTTTTGGTTAAGTAAATACTGTGTCTTTTTTTAACTATATAACAACAATTGAAATACTGTAGTGCAGAAAAAGTAGCTCTAGCAGTTTCAGAGCAAATCCTGAGCTATCAGATGTCACCAAAGTCTTAACTGATTCTAACAGTCTGATTGATCCATATCAGCCAACGATGTTATGGAGTGCAGGTTGGAGCGCTGGCCTGAGCAGCAGAGCGTTTGCAGGTGTGTGTGGTGACGATCTTCTCCTCCTGCAGGTGGTGCACAGAGACCTGAAGCCCAGCAACATCCTCTACATGGACGACTCGGGGAACCCCGACTCCATTCGCATCTGTGACTTCGGCTTCGCCAAGCAGCTGCGAGGAGACAACGGGCTGCTGCTCACTCCCTGCTACACCGCTAACTTCGTGGCTCCTGAGGTGAGGATCATGTGCAGAGCACTGAATGTCCGGCGTGCGTCCGAGCTGCAGACAGGCCCTCACTCACTCGCTCGCGTGTCTCTGATGTGCTGCAGGTGCTGATGCGGCAGGGCTACGACGCCGCCTGTGACATCTGGAGTCTGGGAGTCCTGCTCTACACCATGCTGGCGGGGTCTGTGTGACATCAGCAGTTTCCATCTGGTTTTGACAGTGAAAATGCACTTAAAGGGGTCATATGATGCAATTTCATGTTTTCCTTTGTCTTTGGCGTGTTAAAAGCTGTTCGTGCATACAGAAGATTTGTAAAGTCTCAAACCCGAAGAGATATTCTTTATAAAAGTGAACGCTCAGACCGATGAGCTTTGTAAAAATCGACACGTTTCAGAAAGGCGGGGCATAGAGGAGAAACAATAATGTACAGTATGTGGAAAATAATGTGTTTTTTTAACCTTAAACCGCATAAACACATTTCATTACACCAAATACACAAATAATGTTCTTTTTAGCAACGTCATATGACCCCTTTAAAAAAGTTTTTTGCAAACTTTTTTTAATTCGCTGTCTTCACACTGCTTCCACTGCTTTTACTTTAAAAATAATTGTTTCTGTGAAATGGAGAGTAATGGAGATGAGTGCTGAGAGCATGCAGTCAGGACAGCTGTGGTTTGATGTGGCAGAGAAAGCAGCTTTTCAAAATGAGTAGTTTTTCATTTAGGTTTGTTTTGAGAAAAAAAATTGGTCTATTTTCCAAAATGATACTAATAACTTTCTTTTTATAATGAGAGCACATTGTGCTAATACACTTTGAAAATAACACCAAATTAATCTGCTGTTTTTTTCTTCTTCTTAGATGCAGTTAAAAACTACATTTACTTGTGTATTTAACATTTTCAGATAATGATTCTAAGATGCACTCCTTGGATACAGCCCAGTTTATTTTCCTCATCCTTTTGAAATAAAATGATATAAATAACGTTTTTGACAGTGCACCCAATGTTTTACAGATGCAAATATTTAATAATATATTTTCCTCATTCATTTGAAAAAAAAAAAAAAACTTATATTTTATTAAAGTATTTAATTGTTTGTTATCTAATTTTTATTTGTTATATAGATATTTTAGTTATATAGATTTATAGATATTTTAACCAATTGGCTATTTTATTTTTCTGTTTTTGATAAGCCTGTAGATCAGTCGTTTCTGAATTTAATAAAACATTTTAACTTTTTAATTTGACGAAATAAGCAAAAAAAAACATCAAATCCAAGAAGTAACAAAAATACAGATGAATGATGCTTGTTTGAGAGGTGCATCTTGTTCTTACCACACTAATTTAATTACTTCAGCGTTAATATACAGTCTGGCACATTACAGCTTTAGGAGTCTTTTCAGTCCATTTTCATTAACAACAAAAAAAAATTGAAATGAAATAAATTGCTTCTTGACTGGGTTTCAGCTTTTTAAAATCATGTTATAAAACGGAGAGTTCCGGTGCTTGATTCTGATTGGCTAAGCCACGTTCGAAGCTGTTGTAAATTACTCTACAAAGTAACGTACACCTTTGTTTACGTTTGTGTGTTGCTCGGTAACCACTTTGTTGCAACCACAACTGTTTCTGAGGAGCTACATTGTTTGGTGGAAGAATAATGTTTTTATTAATATCATTACACTTTATTTGCTCCGTTTTATTTTGTGAAACCGTACTACGTATATGGAATAACCGTTTTATAAAAGCAGTAATCCCCGTGAAGCCGTGGTTTACAGAGAATTTATAACAGCTAAGGGGGTTTTAACTGTCAGCTGTTATAAATTCACTGTAAACCACGGCTTCACGGGGCTTAGTGCTTTAATTTGCTCTGGAACAACTTAAACTTTGTTCCAGTTTTCTATTACATTATGCAAAAAGGAGTTTGTTTCCATACTGGTAAATGATTGGATGCATTAGTTTTTGTTTTTTTAAACAAACAAACATTGTATGGAAACCTGGCTATGGATTCTGAACTAGCCAGATAAGTCTCTTTATTTGGCTGAATGAATGAAAGCACGTGTGAATGTGCTGAATCCTGTGTTTGTGCAGGTACACACCCTTCGCTAACGGCCCCAACGACACGCCGGAGGAGATCCTGCTGCGCATCGGCAGCGGGAAGTTCTCCCTGAGCGGAGGAAACTGGGACTCGGTGTCCGACTCCTCGAAGGTAGGTAGTTATGATACGTAATAAAACAATCCATAGTGGTGCTTGTGTTTGATTGGACGTCAGTAGAGCGCTAGTTCACAGTCCTTAAACTGAAGCTGAGGAGGAGCAGAGTTTGAATGAACGGTGTCTGTGTGGTGGTGCACAGATCGGCATCAAGCGAGTGTGATGTTTGAGAGCTTGTGTTGTGTGCAGGACCTGCTGTCTCATATGCTGCATGTGGACCCTCACCAGCGGTACTCCGCAGAACAGGTGCTGAAGCACTCGTGGATCGCCTGCCGCGACCAGAACCCACACTTCCAGCTCACTCGCCACGAGGCGCCTCATCTGGTGAAGGTACGGCACGCTTCTCGATCCTCAGACACTGAGGCGATGCTTGACTGTGTCGTGTGTGTCTCTCGCAGGGAGCGATGGCTGCCACGTACTCCGCGCTCAACCACCAGACGTGTAAGCCGCTTCTGGAGCCGGTCGCTGCCTCCAGTCTGGCTCAGCGCAGGAGCATGAAGAAGCTGACGTCTGCAGACATGTCCTGAGGAGCCTGACGCGCGTCTCGAGCTTCTGTTTCTCTCTGGGAGAGTGAAGAACACCAGCTCCATCACGTGTTTGAATGCTCTCGCTCCGAGACCCAGAGCTCACGAAGAAACGTCCAGCTCGTGTAGTTTGTGCAGAGAGTACAGGAAGCCTGTTTGTTGGACCATTAAGAACATTTCGTGACAACCCAATCCCGCAGATTTCCTGTATATCAGGATTAGTTTTCGCTAAATTCTCCAGTATGTGGTACGAGACGTTCTTCTAAATGCTTTACAGGTGAAACGATGTCTAGTTTTTCCCACATGAGCTGAAAGGAGATGATAAATGTGCTGAATTGTCTAGAGCATCACAAACAGGCTTGGTTTTCCTCGCGCACGATACGCTTGTGACCTGCACATTCCTCGCCGTTCTCCATCTGTGAGCCACTTCCTGTCCCCTTAGTGTTGCGAAGCACATGGCATTACCTCAGAAGCACTCAGTGTTAGCGTCTCTTCGGCTCGGTGTATATAGACTCGTTCATCATGTGTTTGTGTGGATCCCTGAGCACATTTGCACTGAGGCTCGGCAGCTCGTCTGTTCCCGTCTCGGACCGCTCTTTGCCTTTTGTTGAATGGGAAGTACATGAGCAAAAGGTGGAGAAATTAATCTATATTTATAAAGTCGAATGAGGTGAGTGAATGTAGATGAGACTGAATCCACGAAATCGCATCTCTCTGCTCCAGATGGAGGGAAAAATTATTCCATACAACTTTGTGGAAACTGTATCATATTGTATTTATTTCACTTGTTTTTAAGATTTTATTTTTCTTTCAGGTGATGTACATATTGACATTAAAGAACATTATTGACATGATGCTTTTCTTGTGTGTTTTTATTGTCAAGTTTGAGTAAAATCACGAAGCAGTGAAGCTCTAAACGGCGTTCCGAAAATGCCGCTAAAGAACTAACGGAGGTGCTGTTTATTAGTAGTTCTGCACACAAGAGCATTGAAGCCCTGAGGAATAAACTCTTCTGCTTTGTGGTGATGAACAGTGCTACTTGTAACACAATGCAATTACGAGTTACGTAATCGGATTACTTTTTTCTAGCAACTAGTAAAGTAATGCATTACTTTTTAGTTTACAAGACAATATCTGAGTTACACCAAGTCAGATTTTTAATGTTTTTTAAAGAAATCTCTTCTGCTCAGCAAGCCTGCATTTATTTGATCAGAAATACAGCAGAAGCAGTAATATTGTGAAATATTTTTACTATTTAAAATAACTGCTTTCTATGTGATTATATTGTAAACTAATTTATTTCTGTGATGTGCAGCTGAATTTTCAGCATCATTACTCCAGTCTTCAGTGTCACATGATCTTCAGAAATCATTCTAATACGCTGCTCAAGAAATATTTACTATTATTATTATTATTTAAAACAGTTGAGTACATTTTTTTTTCAGGATTGTTTGATTTATCTGAAATAGAAAGCTTTTGTAACATTATACACTATACCATTCAAAAGCTTGGAGTCAGTATAGTTTTTTTTTGTTTTGTTTTTTTGGGAAAGATTATAGAGATTAACCCTTATTTAGCAAGGATGCTTTAAATTGATCAAAAGCGACGATAAAGACATTTATAATGTTACAAAATATTTCTGTTTCAGATAAATGCTGTTCTTCTGAACTTTTTATCAAAGAAACCTGAAAAAATTGTACTCCGCTGTTTTCAACAATAATATTAATAATAGAGCAGCACATCAGCATATTAGACTGATTTCTGAAGATCATGTGACACTGAAGACTGGAGTAATGATGCTGAAAATACAGCTTTGATCACAGAAATAAATTACAGTTTAATAGATATTCACATAGAAAACAGTTATTTTAAATGGTAATAATATTTCACAATATTACTGCTTTTGCTGTATGGAAATCAGGAGTGAGTGCCCTCTACTGGACAGACGGGAATTTACATTTCCTTCAGCCTGAGACTCATTCTTTTCACTTTTGGTGTGAAAGGACTTGTACAATTGCCAAAAATATTACTTTATATATATATATATATATATATTAAAAACAAGTAAGCAAGTCCAGCCCAGATGAGAAAAAGTAACGTAATGCATTACTTTCCATAAAAGTAACTAAGTACCGCGATTCGTTACTTTTTTATGGAGTAACGCAATATTGTAATGCATTGCTTTTAAAAGTAACTTTCCCCAACACTGGTGGTAACAGTGGCGTAATCGGAATAATTGTGTACGGACAGGTGAATTACTGAATTAGTCTGGTGTTGTGGCCGCATCGGATGAGCAATGAATAAATGACCTGCCTTTCGTTAATTATTCCTTGTTTAAATGCTTCACTCCTTGCTCGTCTTACAGCCACAGGCACAGCGTTTCAAAAGGAGAGGCTAAAGTCCACGTTAATAACCTGAAAATACAGGAAGCTGAGCGCGCGCGTTACCAAATCATGCTGTAAAGAGGTCTACATATGACTCTCAGTCGCTAAAATCACAGCTGTACAGTGTCTCATCTTTCGCGAAGATCGTTCAGACATGATGCGCTGTCTGCTCTTCGGCTTCTGTCTGTGTTTGGCTCACATCAGCGGAGCACAGGTAAATATAATGCTCATATTGCATTGTGAAGAATGAACGTAAAACGTATTGATATGAGAGTAGTGTTATAGATAGCTGCTTTTTTTCCTTTCAAACATGTTCAAACTGACCGCTTTGCGCGTCAGAACGCGTACAGACGCGTCGCGATTCCAGAGCAGGCTTATTTTGCTGAGGCTTTTGACGCAGGAGCTCTGGACAGGTTGGGCTCCCTTCAGTCTCTCACTCAAAATATACAACTATATGTGTGACCCTGGAGCACAAAACCAGTCATAAGGGTCAATTTTTCGAAATTGAGATTTATGCATCATCTGAAAGCTGAATAAATAAGCTTTCCATTGATGTATGGTTTGTACAGACTAAGAGATTAGTCAACTATTTGAAAATCTGGAATCTGAGGGTGCAAAAAAAAAAAATCTAAATATTGAGAAAATCATCTTTAAAGTTGTCCAAATGAAGTTCTTAGCAATGCATATTACTAATAAAAAATTAAGTTTTGATATATTTACGGTAGGACATTTACTAAACATCTTCATGGAACATGATCTTTACTTAATATCCTAATGATTTTGGGCATAAAAGAAAAATCGATAATTTTGACCCATACAATGTACTTTTGGCTATTGCTACAAATATACCCCAGCGACTTAAAACTGCTTTTGTGCTCCAGCCAGGGTCACATTTAAAAGAGTTTCTGCTATGCTGAAGTTTTTGTGGTCATCATTGCTCTGAAGAGTAGAAACTATAGTGTATGTCGCTTCATTCATAAGACTGCTTTTGTGCTCCAGGCTCACATATATATATATTAGTAGTTTACATTAGATGACTGATATGTCCAGGTAGGAAGCCTTTGCTCATTAACGTCAAATGTTTTTCCTTGTTTGCACTGAAGAAACTGGGTTTTGTCCAAAGCAGTGAAAGATGAGCAGCTGCAACTTCTCAAATATAACGGTATGCATTTTGTGCAAATAAATTAGAATGTTGGATCTTATAGCCAAAACAATGTAGCAGCGTTGCACATGAAGCAGACGGCTCTGAAGGGGTTTATAATGCAATAATAAATAATGCATGCTAACTGTACTGCATATCATCCTGCTTGTTACATGGCTGCTCACTCACCCAATGAATGTCAGTATGAAAGCCTTGGTTTTGCACAGGGGAGTGGGTTATAGAGGAGTCTAGAGAGCTGAGATTATTAGGAAACAGAGGCCTGGTCCTCAAGTCTCCCGGTGAACACCACGCCATCTCTACGTACCTGAAGAAGACCTATCACTTCACAGACAAACCTCTGTGCTTACAGTAAGACATTCGATCAGTGCAGCCTTTCCTTTAAACACTAATTCAATCATTTGACTAAATCTTCTCTTGAATCATCCGCAGGTATGAAGTTTTCTTCCCAAAGGGGGTTGATTGTGGTGGAGCCTACATCAAGCTGCTTTCTCATTCAGATGATCTCCGCTTGGTAATGTCTGACGTTTTTAGCTTAGTGCTTTAAAGGGGTCATATGATGCTTTTTTAAAGATCATTATTTTGTGTATTTGGTGTAACAGAATATGTTGACATTATTTTTCAAATACTGTACATTATTGTAGGTCCTCTATGCCCCGCCTCTCTCAAACGCTTCTTTTCTACAAAGTCCCTCCTTCCGACAAATGCAGTCTGCTCTGATTGGCCAGCTGACCCAGTGCATTGTGATTGGCCGAACACCGCAAGCACTCGTCGGAAATGTAACGCCCCTTACCATAATCGCGAGCTTCATCTTTCAAAGAGAAAGGAAAACTTGAAATTGCATCATATGACCCCTTTAAATCATGAAAAACAGAGTGAAACAGTAGTGCCAGAAGTGCCTAAACAGTGTAGTGATTGTGATTTTAGAGCCGGTTCAGTGATGCCACCCCATACACGATAATGTTTGGTCCAGATAAATGCGGCAGCTCGCACAAGATCCACTTCATCTTTCGTCATCGTAATCCAGTCACAGGGACATATGAGGAGAAACACGCTCGACAGCCGGAGCTGGATCTCAGCGACTATTTCACTGACCAGCGTCCACATCTCTACACTTTGAGTGAGCAGTCAGTCTTATTTCACACGTTCGTTTGCATCTGACGTAAGTTTCGATTTCAATAAACTAAACAGGTAATCGTTTTGATAGCAAACATCCTGCACTGGATGGAAAGTGTCTGGTCTAGCATGAGGTCGTTCTAAAGCATTCTCTTCTCAGACGTGTATCCTGACGGCTCGTTTGAGATCCTCGTTGACCTGACACTGATTAATAAAGGCAGTCTGTTGGAGGACATGCTCTCGTCAGCGGCGTCTGCTCACGAAGCACAAGAACAGGAGGATTCAGCAAGAGCTGCATTAGTGGACGCGGTTCAGACCTCTGACACAAAGTCGCAGCAGCATCGAAGGTGTGCTGATTTTATCTGAGCATTATTTCTTCATGATACCAAACGAACCTGAAAGATGAGCTGTGAGGTGTTTTAATATTTAGTTCTGGATTGGTGTATAAATGCATGAATTGGTTGAATGAGTGGCTTTTATAATCTTCAGATGAAGTCACAGAAAAAAAGTCCATAATTGCACTTTTTAATTTGAAATTTCTTTCTTTCTGAAATCTTAAATGTGAAAAGGCATGGATTCAGAGAGCAATTTGAAGGATGCAGGGCCTACATAAGACAATATATTTATTGTCTACAATAATATCATAATTGTGATCGCCTATATTCAGTGGTGTGTGTGTTTCAGGTCAGATGAGCCGTTCACCGTGAGCTCTGTTTCTGCTGTGGGTTTTGAGCTGTGGTCCCTGACTGCAGATGTGATGTTCGACAACATCTTGCTCTGCGACAGTCTGGAAGTAGCCCGGCGCTGGACACAAGACACGTGGGGCCAGAGACAGACGGTGAGAGCAACAGTTTAACCGCATGTTCTTCCACATGCATTCAAATGCACATTACTAGCACACCTGTACTTATAAAGCACATATTAATGCCTTATTCTGCATGACCTAAACTTAACAACTGCCTTACTAACTAACTAAGCAGCAAATTAGGAGTTTATTGAGGCAAAACTCATAGTTAATAGTTAGCTAATAGTGAGAAAGTGTGACCCAAAGTACTTAATTCACTGACACGTCCAAATTAAAGCAATAAGCCCCAAGAAGCCGTGGTTTACAGTGAATTTATAACAGCTAAGGGGCGAAGCGGAGTGCCTAAA